TATGCTGATGGCACTTCTCTAATCCTAAGAGGTGAAGAATGTAATATGAGACAAATCATTTACACACTTAAAACATTTTGTATGAAATCATGACTTATTCTAAATTGGACTAAATCTTATAATCATTGGAAAAATGAATTTTTACTTGAAAGACCAAGTTTGAGTAATTAGCTAGGCATCGTATGAATGGATGGAAATTATATGAACAAATTATTGGAAGCACTATTTGGACTATCTTTAACTTCAAAGGACTTTGATTCCTTCTTATAAGAAAAAATAAAAATAAAAAACTTAGCTATTAATATTCCACAATGATAAATTCAATATAAAAAAGAATAGTTGTTAGTAATGTATTATTGTCAACCACATTCTACTTTATTTCTTTGTGGGGAGGAAAAACAACAAAAAAAAAAAAAAAAAAAAAAAAAAAATTACTAAGTATTAAGGCTTCACTTAGCAATTATCTTACAAGAAAATCTATGCATTGAGCTTGAATTAAAATGGCATGGATACAATGCTACCAACCATTTCATAAAAGAGAGATTAATTTCATTAATTCCATAGATGTGGTGATGACATTATTAGAAAAATGGATTGTAAAAGCTATAGAACCATTAGGCTCTAACTTACATTTAATGTTAAGAAATTATCTCAGTAAGTTTCAATCATATGTTAAGGAGAAATAACAACTTGGTCTTGGATTTTTAAACTTAGGAAGCATCAAAGCACAAAAAGATCAAAAGTATGGAATAGGATTGGATTGGCTTGGAAGGACCTTCTTCCTAAAAAGTCATATCTCTCTTATACATGTCAAGAAGAATAAAAAAATTGCACCATGTGGTACAATTCAATATTAATCAACATTAGGCCTGATATTTCAAAGAAAAGAGCAATGGAACTTCATAAACATAGGCTTGAAAAAATCAGGGATTTATTAAAAAATAATAAATCTCTTACTTTTAATTTAAAAAAGAAAATCGATCTAGTGTTGACCAAGAGTAGGAAGATTCATGGACAAATCTAACTAATAGGATAGTCCAATAGAAGGCCCAAATACTTCCTAGGTTAATCTAGGGATTGAAGAAAGAAGAGTATATGGATATCTTTGCATATGAAGCCTCTTTGACCTCTCTAGCAATATGAAAAATTATGGATGATTATCAACCAACTACAATAGAATTAAAAAAATTGGATTTCTATACACACACATATTTACAAACCAAAGAAAAACAAACTTGCATTGTTTGAAGTAAAAACAAGAATGGAGGCCAATTCTATATTGTGAGGCTAGAGAGAGGAGAGAGAGGAGAGATAGAAGTAGATATTTCCAAGGTTGCTTTAAGAGGGTCAAAATTAGTCTAATTCTAAAAGAGTAAAGAAAGTTGTTAATCCTCTTATATTACAAGAAGGTAGATCAATTGGTATGGAATCCAAAATAATATGAGTGGCATAGCCACATACCATTCATGCAAAATACCACTCTCTTGGATCTTGGGTCACTCCTTGCTCAAGAAGAGACATGTAGTACCTAATGTTATTGAATGGAAGTGGGATGGATTTTAGTGAAAAATTTCAAGCTCAAATAAGCAAATGTTTGAGGTGTAGATAGAACAAGGAAAGAGGTTGGTGTTTTATAGGAAACATGGCATAGAGCAGTTGCAGTGAATGCATGGCTATGACACATTTGTAGAGATGCAGAATAGTGTTGCCTTGTGTGTATAAACGGCTTGAAGGATATGGTATTGCATTGATTTTGGGAGTGCAATTTTGCATCTAAAGAATGGAGGTGGGGGACCTACTTCTTCCAACTTCTTCCTTCAACAACTAGGCCTACAATGATTCCTAAATAGAGAAATAATAGTAACAAAAATACGAGCTCACTGGACCTTATGGCCAATGAACAAAAAAGATGAGGTAATGATATGAGAGGTAATTCATTGAGAATGCAGCACATTCAATTTTCACCACCATTTCTGCATATCAAATTCCTAAGTGCTTTACAAATGTAAGTTGAATATGGTTATTACTTTGCAGAATTGTGATGTAGATCATCTGGATCGAATGAAATGATGCAACACCCAATGAAATCTTTTGGATGAGTAAACAAGTATGTCATCAAGTATGGCTGCAATTGATAGATTATGGAAGGAATGCTTGGATCAACACACAGGAGAATATGAAAAATCAACTGCTCCTTGAGGCCAAACTCATTCAGCAGTTCCGTCAATGATGGCCCATGAACCAAGTATTGGCTAGCTGGGTAACAAACAACCCACTGTGGAAGCTATCATGGCAAGGAAGGTAGAAGTAGATAATTGTCTGTTTTTGTTTTTATTGTAAACTAACACCCTGGCCGGATCTGGCTGGCGACGGGGAACTTACCCCTCGGCAATAGAGAAAGTCCTCTATTTGTGTCAAGAAAAAAAGAAGGTAATAAACAGGAAAGGTCAGTTGGAATATCGTTTGACCTTTATCACATGAATGCTCCCAATCAACCAGAGTGTGAGACTTACAGCAGCGAAGTCCTCACCGGATCCCCAAGAAATCCTCCAGGAATACTGGTAGGAGTACTGCAGAATCATGTTGAATTTCTTGTCCAGTTTTAAGGGTTCAGACAGTTTGGTGTGGCAAGTAGGGCTTCAAATCCATTTTCTCTCACAAATGGTAAGTGGTGGATTTAGCAAGAATACGAGGAATTTAGCTAGTGACCCGCCAGCCTGTACCAAAACTATCTCAGGAAGATTGCAAAGTATGTAGGAATCCCACATGAAGCTCCTAGAACTCCTCCTTTGATTCTAACGAAACTTCTGGCCATAGTTTAATTTCCTTCCAGGCTGGGGAAGGTATATCCATGTTTAGCTCTTTTTCCCGAACCTCGATTCGGGAGTCCACTTCCACACTACAGGTTAAGCTTATGCCTTGCAGTCCCCACAGAAGCTGGATGTTACATTCCACTCTGTAGACTGTAAGCCTAGACTTGGCTGTTTTTGAGAGAGGAAGTTGGAAGGTAGGACGCTGCGAAAGTACTGTAAGAGCCGTGGAGAATACTCGACATAAATATAGAATTTCCGGTGACATAACTGTTGACGAATTACATAAACTGGATTCACGCTCAGATAGGGAGGGAGAGGGGCTTTGTGCTAAAAAAAATAAGGAACTGTTGTCATAATCCAACTTGTATGCGTAGTTAGCAAAAAAAAAAAAAAAAAAAAACAAAACAAAAAAAAACAAAAACAAAAACAAAACATAAAAACAAAAACCAAAAAGCACGAACAAAATCATCCAGAAAAACTCGTTCATTGACGTGAAACGGTATGTTTTTTATGTTTATGTTTGTGTTTGTGTTTTTTTTTTTTTTTTTTTGAGAAAGCACGAAGAGCAGTAACAACTTTACAAGAGAAACTGAATAGACCAACAGCAAGTTAAATGACTTAGTGCGGGATCAACTTCATTAAAGTTTTGGCTTTTCGTGGGTGCAAAGGCAAAGCACATGTAATTCGGAGCTCTAGGGTGGGAAGGGGATTGCACAATCTGTAGTCTGAATCTTTGTCAGCGGGGAGAACTGGTATTTCATTGTCAAAATCTGGGAAGACGTGTTGAGCATGCCATAAAAAGCACACATCCATAAATCTGTGTCTACAAATGCAAGATAAAGACCCACCCACGGTGTGAAAATGCTAGATTATCACAGAACTTGTCCGTACCATGGGAATATGCATTTAAACTGGGCAGCATGGCAGAAGCTAATAATATCCACTACTGTGACATGCATGACAGGAGTCTGCTTTGATTCCCGTCGCGGGTTCCCCGCTGGCCCGGGATAAGCGACCCGGGAGCGGGGCAAGCCAAAAAGCGTTGCCCCACAATAGCCTTCGTCGCCATTAGCTAGCCGCGTTGCGAGCTGACACCAGCCTTGTGGTCGCTTGCTTGCTTGTTACTTAGCAACGATGATCGATGCTGGGAAACACGGAAACCGACTCTGGTCATCCACTCCCGCAAAGCAGCCCCCCTTTTTCTTTCATCCGCAGTTGCTACTACACCCTCGTTCTTGATTGCTGCAGTCGATCGACTGTTGACGCACACATACACAGTTGCAGCGAAGAGCCGAAGAACGTGATACGATTTTTTAATCCTTTCTCCATTCTCTCTGAATTCTGTGTTCATATTCATGTGAATTTAAGCTTCGAGCTTTTCCCCTTTGTGTGCGTCTAGCTCATTTTGGGAGTGCACCAGCTCGTTGTGTTCACTATGGGGATTCAATTTATGATGAGGAATCAAGTCCACGAGGGGCTCTAGTTCGCCACCATCACTGCATATGGGGGCTGAAGTTTCACGACTGGTTGATTGCTTTTCAAGCTTCCTGACCTAAATCCTTTTTCAATGCGCCCTGAGCGTTGAACATGCACTGAGCGTGTTTAACGCAGCATGTTGATATTGGAGGTGTTCATCTGCTCAGCCGTGGACAGCGATTAACATGCCACGAACTGGGGTGGTTGTCCAGAGGTTCATCATCGTCATCTCACGCCACACACCCATGAATCTGACCGCCCTAGCTCATGAAAAGCAGTCATCGCGGCTCTATCTGCGGAAAGTGTGACAGTACAGCACTTCATTCGTTTGCAAGGGTTGCTTTAAAAGCAACATCCGCTGCAGAAGTTTGCAGTCGGTCATTTACTACAATCAGAGTAATTAGATATGGGTGTGATGTGCTCCGGCACTTTGGCGCGCAGTAATCAATTTGTCACAGTTTGTGTTTATCCGGTTACACTGCAGTTGAATCGAAATTCCGGACGTATAAACCATTCTTCGAAAGAATATCACAACCTAATGTGTACCTCCACTTAATGGCGATGGGTTTACTGCAGAAAATCATTAATTGTGGTCCAATCTGAAAAAAGCACATTGTGAACAGCTGTCCGTCAACTTTCCACAAGCAAACCTATTATGATACAAAAATTTCAATTTTGAAAACTGCTCTTCGCAGGCTGCAACCGTTCTGGTTTGGCGCCCTCAATTGGTCGTCGTTACCTCAGTTTGTTCGAGGAAGGAATTGGATTACAACTTGCTTGAAGCACTCTTTCAAGAGATACGGAAACAAGGAGTACTTGAAACACTGAAGTGCGCAATTTCAAATCCGGGGAAATTACGTCACCAATTTTTTCAACAGTATTTACGTCCGGATTTCTGGCTTATCGTTAACTTGAAGAATGTCTGGTTTCGCCAACACAGTAATCATTTGGCCGACGACGCTGGAACGTGGACGGCCCGTCCTCGTCCTCTCAGACCAAGATTGTGGCATCTACATCAGTTGCTGGCCGAATGGTAAGTTATTATTGGTGCGCTTTACTGGGCGCAGATGAGTGGCCCTGAGTCGACTCTTTGGTTTGCGGGCACACTTTTCCCAGTTGCGGTGTCTTTGTCTTTAATCGCATCTAGATTCCGCGGCCGCATTACCCGGTCACCAAATACACACAACCAACCATGGATTTGATAATTATTCACCGTTTGAGCAGAAAGTGGAGATGGTTGGAGTCGATGTAGACTTTGGCAGGAATGTGAACGGGTAATTTATTGCAGGTTTTTCATTTCTGACTGCAATTTAAATGTATGCCTTCATGATCTTCACCTGTTGTTCCATTGTCCAGCCTTTTTCTACAAAATAGACTTACACTGTCCCCCTTGTTGCATGTAATTCTCCTCGTCGCACAATCCTACGATTACCAGTCGACATGAGGTGATTGACCAACGGAGCGCTATGCATACGATGTGATTAGAGGCTCACGGGCGAAGGCACTTTAGCATGAAATCTGCACAGGATTCGGAGGTCTGGCACTGCGATCAAGTCCTTAATTCGCATTCTAATGAGCGTCGGAACGGCAACCGTTCATTAGATTTTGAAGGAGACACAATTGTGGTTACGCACTTCAATTATGAGGTGCGAACAAAAGATTACGGTTTCTTCGGACTGTAACTGGGTGATTGAAGATTATATGGTTACTCTGGCGAATACATTTAGCTGGCGTTGCCAATAATCAACGCGCAGTCATGATTTAGTTTACTATCATGGGTTGTGGTCATTCTCATGTGCGGTATTCTTAAAGTACTTCTCTGTGCCTCGAATTTATCACGATGAGAACGATGAGTAGGTGTGCAAATTACAACAATATAAATGACCAGCCTCGAAGGATCAAGACGTCTCTAGCTGTGCATACATTTGTGACGTTTCTCCTGTCATTATCAGCTGTAAAACTACTTCGAAGTAGTTTTGCAACCTAGGAGTAAAAATGTGGCAACACGATTTTGAATACATCCTGAAGGAACTCGGTGCGTGTGCTTGGAATCACTGTGCCAACCCGCCGATGGACCTTTACATGCAGAGAGAATGCATTTTCTGGTACGTTTGGTTTACCACATTGCCAGACGAAGAAGAAATTTCAAAAATAAACTAGAGGATTAATGAGTCTTGTTTTATTATATTCCCACAACACTCCGCCAAAAGGCATATCGTTGAGCCCTCTTTATGAACTTGCTCCAGCTAAAAGAGTCGAATGGACATAGGAAGTTATTAGTTCTTGTCAGAACCAGCACCTCAGTCAACTGTTATGCGCCACAATCAAGGTGCTTTACTTACAGCTCGACATAATTCCTGATTATTAAAACATCCTGGCTGCTGCCATCCTCTGGCAACGCGCTGAGCACGATTCCATTCCTTCGGGATGAATGGTTCCTTAAGATGGCATCACTAACTCCAGTTTCAGCTCCGGCGAGAGCTAAAAACCTTCACGCATTCGGAAACGTGGTAGGGCATCTCCAACGAATAGTCACGCTCGATGAGAAAATTTTGATGCCATTCACTTCGCAATGACAAGGGAGAAAACGCCTTTCTTATCCAGCGGAACGGTTGGCCGAACGACACTTTTCAGGGACCATGAAAAGTGGTCATGAGGATGGTCTTTCATCACCTTGGTGCTGCACAAACCTTAGAACTCACCACAATTAGCAACTTAGACGGTATACACTACGTGTGCTTAATGTGCTCTCCATCTGATATGCTAGAATTTCACTTGTTTACGGCCCTTAGTGGAACGATTGTGATTGTACAGCAACAGTGACAACGATCCACCCTGTGGCTTCCTGATCAGCTCGGTTGTCTTCATCCAGAGCCAAGCCCATGCTTTGAAAAGAAAATTCGCCAGCTGCCACAAGATTAAACGACATTTCCACTGCATCTAAAGTCACATCGAAGGGGGCCCCAGGAGCAGCTTTCCCTAGCAGAAATCACATGCAGGCTCCACTAGATGCCCAAAGGACCCAAGGACCTCCTCAAGTGATTCCTCAACGTGGCCAGACATACAAACATAGCGAAGGAAGAAACCAACGAACACTACCTGCCGATCAGAAAATAAAACTATGCCTTTATTTCTTTAGGTTCGTACTTGTGTACCAAACTGTCCTGAAGCTTTCATGCTTGCTCTCGCTCAGAGCTGCTACTGCTGCTGCTGCTGCTGACTAGCTCTCTGATCGATCGCAGAAAATTAGCTCTTTGGAATGGAAAGACACACATATCAGAGACTAAGGCTGACTTCGGCTACACCTTGACCTATCTGCGACGGGTCCTTCAAGAGGGCTCTGCTGATTCCTGACCGAGTTTCAGCTCTTTCACAAAAGTCACTGGCTGATTCCACCCACGCAGCTGTCCACATTCCATTGCGCCGTGGACTTGTGTGCTCTAAGTCTTGTGGTGCGGCATCGATAATCTTGTGCTATTCCATGAGTAGTTTCCCACCTCTTAGTTTCTCGGCATTGAATATCTGGGTGGAATATGACATTGTGTGCAATTTTATACCTGGAAATTCACTGAGATGTGATGTTGAACCTTGGTGAAGAGTAGGAGTTTGTTCCAGGTTTTATGCTTTTAGTCGCTTGATGAAGATATACACTATTATTTATATTATTATTACTATTAATTTTTTTATTACTACCAATGTTGTTTCATGTTTGATTATGAATGAGTGAGTGATTAAATGAAGGTTTTATGAAATTGATTTACATCAAGTAAGTATATGGAACTTGTTTCAATATGTTTGGATGTATGTGAAATCACTTGTATTTACCTCTCACTATTGTTTTGTCATTGAAAATCGTCTATGGTTGAATTACATTTTTTGAATATATATTCATATTGATGATAATAACTTGATGATATGCAATTTCATATCCAAAAATATCAAATGAAAAATCAGATAAAAGAAGATTGATATCTTTTTGTAGCTAAAATTGATTTCTTGTAACTTATTTATACTCAAGTTTCTTCAAATGATAAGTTTGGTGAATCATAAAAAATATAAGAATTTTGTTCGTGCTTAAAATCTAAATTTTCTATTTGTATTAAATTAAATTAAATTCATATATATATATATATATATATATATGTATGTGTGTGTTTGAATTTTTTTTATTGAAATTTTCATTTTGAAATATATATATATATATATATATATATATATACATTAAGATGGTCAATCATCTTTAAACTCATTGTCACATATGATAGTTCAAACCAATATTTGGAACTTTAAAAATTTATGTTTAATCAATGCTGTAATTTTATTATTATCAAATTTTATAATTTTTGAAATTCTAATGCTGATGTTGATTTTATTAAATTAGGAAAGGAAATCAAATACATAATTTTTGTTATGAATTTTTTATTTGAACTTTCAGTCAAAGCACAGTAAGCTTGTTATTAACGATGGTCTAATTTTATTATCTTAATATGACAGTTTTTTCATTTCGATGTGGATAATTAAAACACATGCACATGATGGTTTATTCATTTTTAATGACATTCATAGTTCACAGAAGAAATTACATTTTTCTGCTCTTTACAAAATAAAATAAACATATTATTGAAACAAAATTTCTGAAGCTTTTATATTATGTCCACAACATGTACAATTTGGAAAAACATAATTGAAGCTTCAAGCACAGCTCAGTACTATCGCAGTCTGGCATTTTCTTCCCCTCTTCCATATATGTTAACTTTTTCCGCCATCTCAAGCCAAACAGTTTTGCTAACAAATATAAAGTCAACATGTTACTCTCAAGGGTTGGAGAAGCAGGTTATGTCGGTATGAGTAGAAGCAGATCGCACCATTTGCATACACACAAGCCCAGAACTATTTCAGCAATCGTTTATCTCGGCCCAGTTTATGAACCTTCGTGCATAGCAAGACGTGGAGCTTCGATACAATGCTACTGAAGCGACACATCTCACTGCACACACAATCACCAGTACTACGAAGGATCTCTTGTCTCATCGCCGAGTAAGTTACGATACCCCCAGTTAAGATTTGCGACGACTAGTACCCACAAGCATCAGTCAGAAAATTTCTAAATAAAGTTCTTAATTCAGACGTGAGGACGCTAATCGACCTCTGGAAGTTGCAGAAGGCTGGCGAATTAGCTTTAGATGTTTAGCTCGACGTTTTTCTACACTTTAAATGGTAATTTATTTTGTTTCAGAGCTATACAACAGAGCACTATACACGCAGATAACGGGTGTGAATAACAACTTTATTTCAAAAATTCACACTTATATCTTGAGGAGAAGTTACACTTTTCACTAGTAAATCACAAGTTACTAAACTCCCACTAAAAGGAGTACATGAGGTAATGCTCCCACTTCGATAGAGAAGTGGAGTTCTAGCCAGGTTGTATGGCAAGGAGTGCGCACAGTTTCTTGAACTTTTCTGGAGCTAATGGTTTGGTGAATATATCTGCGACGTTGTCATTTAAGGAAATATAATTGATTTGTAGAACGCCGTTTTTGGTTTTCTCTCCGATCATGTGGTATGTGATATCGACGTGCTAAGTGCGAGAGAAAAATTTGGGGTTAAGGGCAAGTCTAATAGCATTTTGAGAGTTGGAGTATAGTACCGTAGCTTTTTCTTAAGGATACCCGAGATCAGCTAATAGCCTTCGACACCAGATGATTTCTTTTGTGGTCATGTAACACGCAACATACTTGGAGTATGTGGTACTATCGATGAGACAAGCTTGCTTTTCAGAACCCCAGCTAATAGGACCACGGTTCAGAAACAAAATGTATCCACTGCGACATTTACGGTCATCTAGATCTGCTGCGTAATCAGCATCGGCAAATGCGGTAAGTAGAGTTGGGGAAGTGGTGCCACTAAAAACGAGCTTAAAATCCAGGGTGCTGCGGAGGTATCAAAATATCCTTTTAATAGTGATACAATAGGCATGTGTATATTTGGTGTTGAAACGAGCAATATTGCTGACCGAATAGGAGATATCGGGACGTATCGATCCCTTTTGATCTATAAGCTTGATCAAAAGGGATCAATGTGTAGTGGAGAGAGCCACCACAGATGTCACTAAAAAAACAACATACGTGGTTGCGTAGCTCTAAGTCTGTTAACATTCTTAGGAAATGATATACGGTGAGATTTTCCATATGCGCAGCCTGAGCACAACATAAGAAATTTTGTCATTTTGAGCCTTAGTCCGTGTACCAAGCCATTAGCGGCCATTTTGCATATCATGTCATGATGCAAATGACCTAGCCGAAGATGCCAAGTCCGAAGGACTTGGAGCTCATTGGAAGAAGGCACATTGCCAAATGATGCTAGATAGGAGGCTATTGTGGGAGGGAGTAAAACAGTGAAATCAAGAAGATAAGATCCGTGAAGCATTCTGCCCGTCATGATGAGGTTATTGTCTTGAAGAAGCTCGCAAGTATCATCTTTACAAAATGTAAATATTTTGTATTTTCGCGCAACTTTGGTGAGGCTAAATAAGTTCCTCCCGAATCCAAGCATGTAGAGAACCTGTTCTAGAGAATGAACTTCAGTACAATGAGGAAGTTGTACGAGTATCTTGATGTCTCCCGCACTTGTGACATAAGAGCGATGTCCCGCAAGAGTTTTGAGGGTCCATGTTGCATCGGATGGCAAAGGCTTATAATTAACAAACCAGTGAATTTGATCTGTCATGTGATCTATTGCTCCACTATCAGCGATCCAACCTTCAGAATAATTTCTAATTGCTATTGCATTGTAAGCACGTATTATATCAGAATATGGAAAATCCAAAGAAGATGAATCTTGATCGAATGGATTAACAAGATCTTGTTACTCATCATGTTTATTAGTAGTTGAAAATGTAGAATGATGCTCCATGTCGGGGTATAAACGTTGTTAATAAAAATTTGGTTGAACTGAATCCAAAGACTCAGCAAAAGAAGCTTGGGTACTAAATCAAGTTTGTGAAATAGAAGGTCCA